CCTAACATCCACACCCACCCTAACTATATTAAAAAAAGGAAATATCAATTAATTTTCTGATTCTATTTCTCTCATAAAATACATGGCGACTATCCGGATAATCAAATGAAGGAAAAAAAATAACGGTAATTTTCTAATTACATTTCTATTATAAAATGCGCAGAAACTGCAAGGATAAGAAAATAGAGAAAAAGAAAAGTAAACTAAACTAACTTGCTTCGATTTTTCTCATAAAATGATGAACGAGTATTGGAATAACTGAATCAAGAAAATAAAAGTTAATCCAAATTTCTGATTCCTCATTCCTCATAAATTGTGTGAAAACTATCGGGATCACTGAATAAAGAATAAGAAAAGAAAAATAAACTAACTTATTAGATTAGTCTGATAAAATGGGCTACAACTATCAGAATTACCAAATAATGAAAATAAAAATAAACTTTATTTTCTGATTATATTTCTCTTATAAAATGTGCAATAACTATCAAAATAACAAAATGACGAAAGAGAAAATTAAACTGAACTAATCTATTTGGTTTTTCTCATAAAATGATGGACAATTATGAGAATAACTAAATGACGAAAAAAAAATAAAAGCTGATTTTCTGATTCTGTTTCTCACGTAAAATGTGCGGCAATTATGGGAATAACTGAATAAAGAAAAAATAAAGTCAACTAAACTAACTCTCTTGACTTCTCTCATAAGATGTGGGAAAACTATCGACATAACTAATGGAGAAAAAGAAAACTAAACCAACTTATTTTATTCGTTTTATGAAATGCGCACAACTATCAGAATAACCAAATGGAGGAAAGAAAGTTAAAGTCAATTTTCTGATTAAATTTCTATAATAAATTGTGCAGGAACTACGAGAATAAGTAAATGAAGAAAAGAAGAGTAAAGTTAAATGTCTGATTGCATTTCTCTCGAAACATGTGCGACAACTGTCAAAATAACCAAATGCAGCAAGAGAAAAGTAAAGTTAATCTTCTAACTATGTGTCCATTATAAATTGCGCATGAAGTATAAGGATAAGTAAATGAAGAAAAAGAAAAGTCAACTCAAATAAATTATTCAATTTCACTCATAACCTGAATAAACACAAGTAACGCTCGTCGTCACGGCTTGCTTGACTCTCGATTGAATTTGATCTAACGATCATCTTGAATCTTTTGCTGGATTCTGTTTTCCCAAGCCGTCATAAACTGCCGAAAAGGTGTTTAAACGCACAAAAAAGCGAAAAGTGGTCGTTTTTCTATCATAATCGAGAATCACGATTGTGAGAAAAAAACAACCATTTTTTTCTGGTTTTTGCGCGTTTAAACGCGTTTTCTGCAGTTTGCGACTGCTTGGGTTGAGAATTATCACTGAACACACACATACTCATATAAAAAGCTATTTATAATATTGCCTGAGATGGACATTTTGTAAAAAGGCCGGACCTTGCTACTGAGATTTTCTAAAGTGAACCATAGAAGACAGAACGCAGTCGATTGTCGGCCTTCCTACAGGTCGCCACACACAAATTCTCGATTTCTCGTATGATCCGGGTATAATTTATAGTGGGTGTGTTTACACAGATGAAATTATTAGATCAATATCATACTACATATTTCGATCTTTGCTGAAGATCATCATCAGGTATGTTTAGAATGATTACGACTACATTAATTAGTTATGAACAATATAAG